ACAGGGCATTTGCGTTCGGTGCGGGCGGGCGGGAGGGCGAGCGCGGAGCGCTGCGCGGGCGCGACGGACCGTCCACCGGCCGGGGATGCCGCTCGACGCGTCGTGGTCCTCGGTTCAGTGAGTGCCGCTCGCCGCAGCCATGACGGTAGAGTTCGAGGAATGCATCAAGGACTCGCCGCGCTTTAGGTGTGCTGTGGGCCTAGGATAGGGCACCATCAGGGATGGGGAGCCGCCTTTGTGCCGGGGGCGGGGAAGGGATACCCAGCATCATGACCGCTCCGAGTCCACCTGGACGGAGCAGAAGACCTGGCCTGGATAAACCGGCCGGAGCCGGAGTCGCTGGTCCCCAAGCCGCGCAGCTCCGCCTCCGGCCTCGGGGGACCGGAACAAAAGACGCCCCTGTCTGTACTGATCACCTCGCGCGGAGGGGGGGTGGTGTGAGTGCTCGGACTGCCTTGGGCAGCCGTGTACTACCGGGCATTTGCGTTCAGTGCCACCTCTAGAACTGTCCACTCTCCTTTGTGTCTGTGCTTTCGTATGTCACTAGTACTGAGCTCCCCGTGGGCCCTGTAGTCCAGGTCTGGCTAGAATTGTCTAGCGCCCTGCTTCGCCTGTCCCTGGTTTCTGTCTTGGCCCATATGTCCAGAGCAGTGTATGGGTGCAGCCAGCTGGAGCAATCAGAGCCTGAGATGGACACCTTGGTGAAAGTGAAGGGTGGTATGAGTGACCCGGGCTCCTGGAGAGATGGGGGTTGTGGGGACGAGGAAGTCAGGTTTAGGTGGGAGGGTATGGACCTTGTTCACTTATGAGTTTGTTTTTTTGCTGTTCCTGGACATACAGTCGTGCACGTCTGTGTGAACCACATGGCCACACAAATATACATCTGTTTCATTGGGTGACATTTGACAACAGTAATGGAGTACCTCCTGTGTGTCGTTTGAAATTGCATAACTTCATGAGGTCCTCTACCTCTGTGTGTGCATATACACAGGGGAACATGTTCTGCCACTCTGCCCCTCCTTTGAGGAGGTGCCAGACCATGCACTTGAATGTGTAGGTGAGCTGCAACACAGGGTTGGTGCGCTTGATGCATGCACATAGCCTGGTGAGGGTGCACACATGTATGTGCATGTGCCACTTCTCTGTGGATTCATGAACCATGTTTGCCATGCTACTAGACACGTGTTATTGTATGCAGGTGTGTGTTTTAACATGGGTGCAGGTGCCCATGCACTTGTGTTCACCGTGTCCATGGAACACACACGTCTGTGTGCTCAGTGCTACTACATGCGTGCATGCATGCATATTTATGTATAAATATGTATCTGTGCCTTTGCACATATGTGCTTGACCACATTTGTACATGCATGTTGGGTCTCTGGGGGCCTACCCCAGTTCAGCTCTTTTCAAAACCACCGTGCAAAAGAGTCAACAAGAAACACCTCAGGAGCTTTGGCGCATTAGTTAGCCAAGAAGAGTGTCCACTGACTGTAGGCAGGGAACTTGAGGCAATCTTCATCTGTGTGTTCCTATTTTCTATTTCTGAATGATTGAGTGACTCAGATACCCCACAATTCTATATCCAGACTAGATAGGAAGTATGGCCAAGGCCTCAGTGTTAGGCACTTGGCTTCAGCTGAAGTCCCCTGACCCCTTTCTGAGAAGCTCTGGCTCCACTCTGCCTTGTGGAGGGGTTTGGGCCTTAGCAGAAATCCATTCACTTCTTTCTGGGCTTTCTTTGCTATAGCCAGCCAGTTGGACTTGTGGGCTGTAGTAGGTGTGGCAGCTGGCTAGGCTTAACATCGCTTCTTTTGGTGCATGTGTAGGGGGTGTTGTGGGAGATGACTTTCTGGACTTTGGTTCTGGTGCCATGGAAACTTGGCTCTGTGGTTTTGGGTGGGCTGTGATTTGATGGGTTTGAAGAGTACCTTGTCTACTCTAAGGTGTTACTGAGGTTATAACTTGATCTTTCTGGCCAAGAACCTTTAGGTAGGGGAGGGTGGGCCTGGCAGAAGGATTTGGAAGTGAGGTGAAGCCTAGACCCTAACCTGGAAATGATGGGAATTTTGTTTTGGGGCTCTTAGTCTAGGATAAGGGCTTATGACAGCAGCCTTAGGAATGTCTCATAGTCCCTGAAGCTGTGGGTGGGGGTGCAGGGGAGCCCCGGAAGAGAAGCCGCCCAGCCTTGGTTGCAAGCCCTGCCCTGGGTGGGGCTTCAAGCGCTGAGTCATGGCTTTGGTGAGGGGGCTCCTCCCCACCCTCCAAGCTGCTGAGGAAGTCCCTGGCTGGCAAGACAGGCACAGGGCAGGAGGAGGATGCCTCAGGTCCTTGGCTGAGGAAAGAAGTGCTGAGAGACTCCTAGGACAGAGTGCTGGCTCCCTGAGCCTCTGCTAAATGCCCACCATGTTCCCACGTCCCTGGGAGTACATATGTCCGCTCCTGGTGCAGCTCCTCCCAGTTCCTGGCTCCCTGGCCAGCTGCATTTCTCCATGCAGCTGTCTGGGCTGTCGGGCCTGCTTGGGGATGCCCTGAATTGTGCTCTCCTAGGCAGATAGATACATCTGTGTTCTGAGAACTTCTGACCACCACAGTGGCCAGCGTTCTGGACCAGAGCCTCCTGTAGTGGCCTGTGTTAGGCTCATAGCTAAAAGACATTTTCCCTAAGCAGGGCAGGCCGTGGGGTATCCTTTAGAAGCATGCTGCCAACGATTTAATCAGCTGCTGTAGCTCTGTTCTTGCCTCTTCTCTGCTTTAGGATTCATGGTGCCTTGTCCCCCAGGAAGGGATGAGGCTGATGGCCAGACCCTTTGAAGGTCCTAATTGAGGCCACACTGAATTATGTCCTGTGTGTTTCTCAAGCCCTTTACTCAGGAGAAACCCTAGAACAGATCTTTCTCCTTACCCTTCTAGAGTGTAGGGCAGAAAGGGGTAAGGAGCTGCTAAACTATATGGCTTCCCCTCTGATACCCCACCCCAAGTCAGTGGTCTGTCTAAACCCTCGGCTTATTATGTTCACACAGGCCAGAAGGGCGTAGCTCACCAGCTGAGCTGATTGTTTGAGGTGGGGACTGCTGGGAGCCTGCCCTTATTTCCTTATTTCCTGTTCCCAAGTTGGAGTTTGGGGGGGGGGTGTCACGTGCCTGGTCCATCTGTCTTTGGCTTCCGGGATTCTCCCTGGCTTCTCCTGGTGATGTCACCATTAACTCCTCCCTCCCCAGGGCATCTATATCAGGCTGGATTGGTGGGAATGGGCTCTAAAGAGACCTGACCCACCTCTCCTTCGGGCTGAACTAAGCTAGAGTCTTGAGGTTGAGGGAGATGGAAGGCCTGTCCCTCGCTGGTTTGAGGCATTGTCCCTTAGCTGGTTCAGAACCAGCCTTCCCTAGTGTCATTTAGCTGCAGGCCAAAGTGGCCTGGAGTTGGGCCGAAGAAGTGAGGGGACAGACTCTTTCCAGTTGAGGAGGGGCTGGCTATCCAAGTGGTATCCAAGTTCAACTCTGAGCCCCAGAGAGAACTGTCATGGGCACCAACATCATAGCTATGCTTGCTTAAACTTGTGTTCATAGGACATAGCTACACTATGGTGTGTGTGTGTGTGTGTGTGTGTGTGTGTGTGAGAGAGAGAGAGAGAGAGAGAGAGAGAGAGAGAGAGAGAGGCATGATAGCCCATATGATATGGCTAGGTGGCTTCTGGTAGACTCTGGGTAGCTCCAGAGTATTGGACCTGGGTCCTAGTTCTGTCCATCAGGCAGGGTGCTTGCCCCTCAGTCTCAGTTTCCTGGAGCCCCCTTCCGGCAGCAAAACCCCTGGGCAGACGCCACAGGAGATGAAACTCCAGTTGACCTAACTGCCCAATTCTTGTTGTAGGGCAACCATTGATGAGGTAGAAACTGATGTGGTTGAGATCGAAACTAAGCTGGACAAGGTAAGAGACAGACCTGGTGATCCATAAAGGGCCCAGCATTGTTGGCCCACTCCAAGCCCAATCTATATATCTGCCTATGTCGGAGATGCCTATTGGTTGGGATACAGCTGTTGTCCTTGCTATACCTAGTGTGACTGGGGTAGGGACCAAGGATAGGACAGGGAAAGGGGAAAGGAGCAAGCGTCACAGCCGGGGAGGCAGGGGCTATGTGCTGTCTGGCCCTCTGA